AGCGATATGCCGACGTTTCGCAAACGTTGCAGTTTGCATCATCAGGGCTGAGAACTCTGATACTGAGCTCCCTTGGGTAAAGGTAGTCCTTATATGTCCCCCTCCCCCCCTTTGTGTAGATGGTGTTTAGGGAGTAGGGGACGAGGCTTGAATCCAGCCAATCAGCGTATTTTAATTGATCAGCTGGTCAATTAAAAAATTTTTTAATTGACCAGCTGATCAATTAAAATACGCTGATTGGCTGGATTCAAGCCTCGTCCCCTACTCCCTAAACACCATCTACACAAAGGGGGGGAGGGGGACATATAAGGACTACCTTTACCCAAGGGAGCTCAGTATCAGAGTTCTCAGCCCTGATGATGCAAACTGCAACGTTTGCGAAACGTCGGCATATCGCTGATTCAAGACACGGCTCCATTCCGGAAGCTATACCTAGCAAATTTCAATTCTATTTATGGGCCTTTTATAATAAGTAAAAAGGCTCACGTAGAATAATATATAAACAGAAAGTAGAAAGGCCGTCTACAATATCTATAAGAATATGGCTTTAAGGCTGTAAGACGCGAAATAAATTATTTTCATTCACTGACAGCTCACGTTACAGCCTTATGGCTCCTGCACATAGGACGCGGTAATGCTTGCCGCACGGCGGATTCCGCGCGACAGCCAATCAATGTGTTGTTTTTCCATAATGGCTCCTGCACACAGGACGCGGTAATGCTTGTCGCGCGGCGGAAGTCAGCGCGATAGCCAATCAATATGCTGTGTTTCCGTAAGAGCTAGAACGTTATTACGGGAAGCAGCATATTGATTGGCTGTCGCGCGAACTTCCGCAGCGCGCAAGCATTACCGCGTCCTGTGTGCAGGGGGTCGATTGTGTATCTCAAAACAAAGTGAAAATGACAAAAGTGAGCAAATTTACTAGAATATTTATAACTTCGTTGGTCAATGTCTAGTGAATTTGTTCACTTCTGTAATTTTCATTCCGTTTCGAGATACACAATCGACCCCCAGGGGCTATTGCAGCCATATTCTTACAAAAATTGTAGACGAGCCTTAAGCCTTAAGAAATTGACTAATCACAGTCAATTATTTTCCTCAAATTTGATTGTGATTGGTCAATTTCTTAAAGCTTAGGGCTTAAATCACCTATTGTAGATTGGGATTAATGAAAATTGCAAAAATGAGCAAATTCACTAGGTGTTGACCAATGAAATTGTAAATATTCTAGTAAATTCGTTCACTTTTGCAATTTTCATCAAGCTTTGTTAGTACACATTTGATTCCCAACTCTAAAACGGTCGTTTTTAATTTATTTTTCAGAAGTTGGTATAAAACATTTGTTCGGCGAATGAAAGAGGTATTGGTCTGTTCTTTTTAGCAACACTACTGAATTGGTAAGTTAGAGTGAGACAACTATATTTTGTCTCACTCTAATTTATTGCCAGTTCAGCAGATAGCTAAAAAGAATAGACCACATCTCTGCATTGGAGTATTCCGTCACCGATTTGTGACTTCTTTTTGCTTCTCTTGGAAGAGCCGTGAACGTGCTCCTGCTAATCGGCATTAGCCTTAATAATAAACAAAGGCAAAAAATTACAAACATAATGTTTGCTCCAGGCGCGGCACCCATTGTTGTCTTGAGTAAGTTGAAAGTGATCTTCCCGTGGCTGTCGTTTGTTTGACAATGTGATGCGAAACTAACCATTTCTAACCACGATGTCGAACATTCTGATTATTACAGGTCAGAACACGAAACGGGATACCGGTAGGAAGGTGCAAAAAGAGAATATCCAAGCGGGAAAGGTAAGCGTCCGCTTGCGTCGTGAAATGCTTAAGTATCTCCTTATAAGGCAATTCCGCGCGATCGCCGGCGATCTCACGTGCAGTTACCACATAAAATATGCCCATAATTAGCCTATCATTATTACTTCTTTTTATTTTTTACACATGAATATATATATATATCACTTGACTCAGTAAAGAAAAGAACTATTTGTAGTATTTTTAGTAGATCGAAAAGATAAATTTTTTCTGTGATCAAATTGCTTCTTTTTTTAGACGATTTAACGACTGTCGCAATGTCTTTAATCTCCCTGCCTCGCCCCTCAGTATAAAATCCTATGACACAGTTTTTACTTTTTTAAACGTATTAATTCTCTTCATCTGTGTTCTACCTTCTAAATCTTTTTTTTTTATTTCACATGGATGATATCAGGTTACCAACGGGAAAAATGCTAGGTTAAAATTCAATCGCTGCGGCTTCTGACAAACTTGCAAATTAATTGTCACGGCGACTTGTTTTTGGTAGAATTTCACTTGATTTCTATTGTATCAAGGCGATAGCTGACGTTATCAGAACATGTCTTGGACCACAAGCCATGCTGAAGATGCTGATGGACCCGATGGGCGGTATCGTGATGACAAATGACGGGAACGCGATCTTACGTGAGATTACAGTGCAGCATCCAGCTGGCAAGTCCATGATAGAGATTGCCAGGACTCAAGATGAGGAAGTGGGCGACGGCACCACATCAGTAATTGTCTTATCAGGTGAGATCTTGGTCACTGCTGAGCCATTCCTGGAGCAGAACATGCATCCTACAGTCATCATAAGGGCTTACCGCCAAGCTCTGGAGGACATAGTTACGATTCTCAACGAGCAAGTCAGCATTGATCTGGATTGCAATGATAAGGACAAGCTGGTGCAAGTGATAAACTCCTGTATAGGCACTAAATTTATCAGACGTTGGTCAGAATTGGCATGTCAGATCGCCTTAGATGCTGTTTATACAGTGATGTTGGAGGAGAACGGAAGGAGAGAGATCGACATCAAGCGTTACGCCAAGGTGGAGAAGATACCAGGCGGCACAGTAGAGGACAGTATTGTCTTGAAAGGTGTGATGATTAACAAGGATGTGACGCATCCAAAGATGAGACGTTATATCAAGGAACCTAGAATAGTTTTGCTAGATTGCCCATTGGAGTACAAGAAGGGCGAATCTCAGACAAATATAGAGATCATGAAGGATAGTGATTTCACGAAGATCCTGGAGCTGGAGGAGCAACACGTGAAGAAGATATGCGAGGACGTGATTTCTGTGAAACCGGATGTCGTGATCACGGAGAAGGGTGTATCCGATCTTGCGCAACATTATCTCGTCAAGGCTGGAATCTCGGCGATACGTAGGCTACGGAAAAGCGATATCAACAGGATCGCTCGTGCCTGCGGTGCCACCGTTGTGAATCGCACTGAGGAACTGAAGGAAGAGGATGTCGGTACGGGAGCTGGTCTCTTCGAGATCAAAAAGCTCGGCGACGACTACTTCTGCTTCATCACGGAGTGCAAGGAACCGAAAGCCTGTACTATCATCTTGAGAGGAGCCAGCAAGGATATTCTGAACGAGACCGAAAGGAACTTGCAGGACGCGCTGCACGTCGCCAGGAATCTACTTATAGATCCAAAATTGGTGCCAGGTGAGATCCGCATAAAAAATTATTGGACTCGCGTTGTATCTTTTAAGAGATAATCTGAGCTTTTGAACTTTTTTGAGTTTCTTTCTTTATCGATGAAAGTGCCTCTAATGCACATTTCTACTTCCAGCATTTACTCGGACTAAACCTTAGCTTATTTGTCTGAACAGAGTTTAAACTTAATATTTGATTGATATTGGTAGAGAAACAAGCATATGAGCATAATATTCATAAGTCAATTAGAAAGCTTAAATCATATGTAGGACTTTTTAATAGTTTAAAGTTAGTTTAGTAGTTTAAATTCAAATTTAAGTTTAATCTCTGTTCAAATACATTGGACACATTAGAACAGAATTTGAACTTAGTCTAAGTTTACACTATTATTGAAAAACTAGCTATTAGAGGAAACAATGTTATCAATAAAAATAATTTAGAATATTGGTCTTCATCTAATTAAACTGTCATATCATGTTATATTTTTTTTATTTGTATTTATTGTGTTTATAGGTGGTGGAGCAGTGGAGATGGCGGTGTCACGGCTCTTGTCGGAGAAGGCAGCTGGTCTTGCCGGGGTTGAACAGTGGCCGTATAAGGCAATCGCACAGGCTTTGGAGATCATTCCCAGGACATTGGCACAAAATTGCGGCGCCAATACCATCAGAACGTTGACAGCGTTGCGCGCGAAGCACGCGACTGAGGGAACCACCTGGGGTATCGACGGAGAAACTGGTAAATTGGTCGACATGAAGGAACGCGGCATCTGGGAGCCACTGTCGGTAAAGCTGCAAACGTACAAGACAGCGATCGAAACCGCCATCCTGTTATTGAGAATCGACGACATTGTTTCCGGCAGCAAGAAAAAGAAGAACGACAACGAGACCGCACAGCCGAGTCAAGTCACGGAGGAGTCTATGAAAGAATAAAAGTATTTTCGATATCTGTTGCAGCCTAAAATCGCTTGCGTCTCTATTAAGATACTATTAAGATTCTATTATTCTTTGCAAAACTCGCGTGTCAGTTTATCGAATTTTTATCTCGTCCTCTGTATTGTATTTTTCACATTAATAAAGATAAGTTTCTGTGAGCTTGTCGAAAAAAGCGATTTTTCTTTATTTACATTGCCTACAATATCAAATAGCTAAATAGTCGTGTTTGAATTTACAATCGGATACCCCTCAATTTATATTATTACTAGAATTCAAAGTGTTACTAGAACGTGTTAGAATTTTGCGGATTTTGAACATTGTGCTTCGACACTGTCGCGTGTTGTATTACTTTGTCCTTCAACTCTTCTGTAGTCTTCGTTGAGGAAATCACTGTTTCTGTTAATGGCGCTGTAGTGACAGGAAGAATCGTATTGTGGGACGTTAACGACTGTACATTAGACGTCACTAATTTGGAGACTAAGGAATCCTTCTTGATGGGCAATAATATTGCTACAGGTTCTAATATGATTTGCTTGTTTAAATACGTGATCTCCTGTAAGTAATTTTATATTACTGAATTTGTTCTACTTTTACGTACTTTTGCTGTATGACTACGTACCTCTTTTTGAAGCACACCGACTGATATTCCTAAATGCATGGCGATCTGAGCGGGCGGAAAGATCGCGTGTATGCAATACTGTATATAGGGAATCAACTGTTCGCTCAAGCATTCCGTGAACTTAACCATATTTTCTCGTTCTGCTGCTGCGAAAGCCTATAACCGCACATGTTTATAAAAACTACAGAATTCATTCGCGAATGAAGAGGCTTATGTGACGACGAAGTCTTACTTGCTGTTCTTGCTTGTAAAATAGCAACATAGCTCTGGCTACGTTGTGCAAGGATTCTTGCAACAGTCTCGTGCACAAGGTAGAGAGTGCCACCGGTGCGCAGAGTCGTAGTTCGTTAAATGCTGATATGATCCCATTGCAATACTCGGCCAAAGGATAAAATTCCACCAGTTGCTCGGGCGGATTTTCCTGTAAAACGTTGTGAGTAAAATTATAAATAAAAACTTTAAACAGGAACATCTTTTTTTTTGTATACTTACAGAATTAATTGTAATTTCTGTCTTTATGTCGAGGCGTTGCGTCTTGTTGATTAACGTAAACGTCTCCATGTCTTTCTCAAATTTTCTGGTCGTCCTACGTACGTTCTGCTCAAACTTCTCGCCGATAACTCGCACGAATATATCTGACATTCGGCCAGTGAAATCGACGCCCACTCGACCGAATGATAATCCAAAGTACGTGCATTGACCCAAGATAGAATCTATAGACGTCACACCAGGTAGATCTTGCTCTAATGTAACAAGAAATTGTGATATCTAAAAAGAGATATATGTCCGGATTATACTTTTTACCGATATGTTATGTATACACTTTGAAACTATACCTTCTCCTCTAGCCAATGGTAAAATATCGCGGATTCATTCAGCGTCAAATCGCGGCCAGGAATAATCAGCTCGTCGTCATTGAACATGGCTTTGTACTGAGTGATTATATTGAACAAATGTATCCTGGACAGTTCTATCGTTTTAGCAATGTGAAGATTAGCTGTAAAAGTGACATCAAGGTGACTCTCTCGAGCATGCTTTACAATGCAACTCAAACGAAGTTCTTACGATCTTCCTTCGGTATTGCATTCAGCAAGCCTTGGAGCCAACTGTCTCGCGCTTGCAGAAACTTGATACGAAGCTCCGGTTCCGTGAACGCGTCCATGGAGCGTAGCAGTCCCACGAGCTGAAGACATCTAGGAAGCGGTAGATCGCCTCTCAAAGATCCAACTACTTGCCCCACCATCCCTGACCAGCTGCTTTCAATCTCCGCTACTATGGACTAACACAACGACGACAACAGAATAAGATTAAACATAATTTTAATTACATTTATGTGTAATATTTAGTTTTAATCTGTGTGTGTTCTCTACAACTAATTATATTATCTTTTTTCTTCTTTGTAATAATGGGAAATACTTTTATATATAGAGAGAGTTTGACAATTCATGATACACTCATTGTGTACACATAAAACTCATCAAATTAAACAAAAAATTCTTTTACTAATAGTTTCAAATAGAATCTCAACAAAGCCATACCGAAATAATAGAGATGTCTCCATGTTTCATGCCTAATTGACGTGCATACTGAGATAATTCCAATGCCTCGTTATACTGATTGCTCCTCAAGCATGATTCCATCAATTGCGGCATCTCTAGGATCTCAAGCAGTTCTGCATTTCGTGTTAGGGTCAAGCTATTTAATCTCCTGTGCGCGTTAATGTCTTTTGAAGTGTCGCAAAACAATTGACATTTTTCCACAAATTCTGGGATTTTTTGCACTAGCTTGTTGAGCCGATTTTCAGTCTCATTAAACTAGAAATGAAATGATACAACTTGTTAGCAAAAGCATCTCTAAGATTCTCAAGTTCTGTAAACTCCTTTTTTGAAATTACATGATTCAGTATTTCCCGTGAATTTTCTGCTGTTTGGATAAAGGTTTTGTAGTTAGCAAAAACCAACTCTTGTGTAGTATGCAATACTACATTCTTCTCATCAGACAAGTGACCAGGTTCTTTACCTGAAAATTGATATATCTGATAGAAGTAAATATATTAAATGTTTGTAAATATATTAGGTTTATAACTTGAAACCCTCCCTCTAGCGATAAATAGCTAGAGCAAAAAAAATGTCTGAATTTCAACCAAATAAGCATCATTTGCGCGAAGCTTTGCTTTTCTGTTTCAATTTGAAGAAAACTGCTGCTGAATCTCATCGAATGCTTGTTGAAGCTTATAGGGAACTTGCTCTATCGGAAACAACTTGCAAGGATTGTTTCGATGATTCAACTGAAAATGTCAACATGTACTTGGTGATTTTGACACGAAAGATAAAGAACCAGGCCAGCAAAAAAAATTCGAAGATACAGAACTACAAACATTGGTTGATGAAGATCCATGTCAAACACAAAATCAACTTAACATTGAATGTTACTCAAGCAGCCATTTCCAAGCGTTTAAAAACCATGGGAAAGGTATACAAGGAAGGAAGATGGGTACCATATGAATTGAAAGAAATATCGAAAGGCGAAAAACTATCTCCAAAATGCTGCTTGCCAGGCAAAAAAGAAAGGGGTTTTTGTGATTGGCGATGAAAAGTGGATCTATTTCGATAACCCCAAACGCCGAAAAACCATTTGCGACTCAGGCCAACTATTGACATCGACGTCAAAACGCATATTCATGGGAAAAAGGCCATGCTCTGTATTTGGTGGGATCAAAAGGGTGTGGTACATTATGAGATAAACCTGGTCAAACAGTCACAGGGGATCTCTACCAACAACAAATAATCCGTTTGAACCGAGCATTGCGCGAAAAACGACTAGAATATGAGACAAGACAGCATAAAGTGATCTTGCTTCATGACAACACTCGACCTCACATCACTAAGGTTGTCAAAGAAACATTGGAAGCACTTTGCTGGGAAGTGCTACCCCATGCAGCTTATTCACTAGACTGTGTCCCTTTCGACTAGCACTTGTTTCGGTTAATGGCACACGCACTTGCAGAGGAACATTTCAACTCTTATGAAAGCATCGGAAAATGAGTCTCTAACTGGATAGCCTCTAAAGATGAGTCATTCTTTCGCATTCATTCATTCATTTCTTTCATGGGATCTGCTTATTACCAGAAAGATGTGAAAAAGTCATATCTAACAATGGCCAATACTTTGATTGATGTATTTTTCATTTGTTTCTTAAATAAAGGCTTAATTTTTGCAAAAAAAAAGGTGGGTTTCAAGTTATAAACTTAATATGATACAAGAATTATATATTAGAAACCTTACTTAGCTGATCTATATCAAAACCACCAAGTTTTGAAAGATATTGATAGAATTCAGGATTTTCTTTCCAGGATTCTGAAAAAGTAGTTTCATAAAATATAAATGATATAAATTTTAAATAATATATATTAATCAGTAAAAATATCACTTATTTAAAATTAGATTAAAAAATAATTACGAGTGTATTTTATCTCACCTGAAATACCTTCTGGAAACACCAGATTTATTACATTTTCTGTCTCGATATCCATGATTTTCCTCTCCAATATTATTCCTCACTATTATTATATGTTGACAGATAAGTAGTAAGAATAATAATACGGATGTTTTCTCAGTATGCTAAATAATTTAATTCATGGAGAAAGAGATGTAGAATATTACTTTTCTTGTATCATAATATTTATCAATTAATATTATAAAATAATTATCTTATATCAGTGTAAATGTTATATGTACACGTAAACTACTTGACAGATATTTGGCTAGTTTCAGTTTCAGTTTCAATGCTTGGCTGAGCACACTTTAACTGTGAGTGACTCTACGCCATTACTTCGAACAGTGCTTCCTTCCTTCCTTCCTTCCTTCAATATTTGGCTAGAGGCGTATCAGTGACTCATGCCCCAACGCCATTACTCCGAACAGTGCTTCCATCGTATGTAAATTATGAACAAGGTGCACTTTCAAATGGTGTAACCTATGTTGGGGTGCGTTCAGATTCCTCATCCAGGTGCACTCTATTACTAGAAACACTACAGTATATGTTACATAAACTATAGCACTTCTAGTAATAGAATACACCCGGGTGAAGAATCTGAACGCAGCCTTGGATAGAAACTTGGAGATAGTGCTATAAAGTTTTATATTCCCCGCATTAAAGGAGAGTTCGTGAACATCATCTTGGGTTACGTTCAGATTCCCTACCCGGA